CTCCAGACTGAACTGGACAACCCTTCAGAAATGCTTATCCCAGACGATGTGAATAGTTATTTCCCAGGAGAAAAGAATAAGGAAAAATAGGAATCAACTTGAGCAGAGTAAAGTTAGGGTAACTATTAAGAAGAGCTTCCTGATTAGGAGGAGTCTGGATCTGTGGACTTCAAGCAGTCAACTCTAATAATTTCAAAGAAATAATTCGCAGTCTATCTGAGAGAAATATAGCACCGAGAGCAACACAGGTCAGAAGCAAATGACCCACAAAGGACTTTATAAAAATGCCTTTTCCCCAAGATTCTAGGAAGGCGCTAACCCAAGTATGACTGTCACAGACATGGTCTTAGAAACCCTAGGCTGTGGTTCGCATCCCTCCTGGCACCTGATGAGGAGAAAGACCTTGGGCATTAGGGAAAGCCATGCTTCAGCAAGGTCAGTACAATTGACACCTCTCTCTGGACTGTGGATGTGTGAAAAGACATGCCCCAAATAAGCCCTGGCATTAACATTGTTAGCAAAGGGTCAAATTGCTGTTTCTGGGACTGACAAGGCCTGGGTTGGGCTAAGCTGGGAAAGAACTGCAGGACTTGCTTCTGACCAGGCATCTAAAGCTGCTGTCACACTCTGCAGCCTCCCGCACTGTCAGCTACTTTTGCCTCAAGCCCATCCTCTGCTCTCCCACTGGAGGCCTGGAAGCCTCCTGAGAGCAGAGACTCACACAAATCCACAGAGAGATGAAACATACTAGTTTTTCTTCTGTCACTTTATCATCTTGCAACATAATCTCTCCTAGGTCTCTGGGTGGCCCAAATGGTTTGCTCTTGGTTGCCAACTGGTGTGGCGCTGTGGGTTAATGCGCCTGACTGCAAAGCCATTTGAACTGCAAGGCCAGCAGTTCAAGCTCACCAGCTGCTCCTTGGAAACCCTATGCAGGGTCACTATGGTCAGAACTGACTCAACGGCACATAACACTGACAACAAGTAACATAAAAAGTTGGTGGTTTGAACCTAGGTAGCAGTGCTGTGGAAGACAGGCCTGATAAGCTGCTTCTGTAAAGATGACAGCCAAGAAAACGCTACGGATCAGGTCTACTCGCTAACATAAGGGGTTGCCATGCATCAGAACTGACTCAATGTCAATGAGCATGTTTGTTTGATTCTTAGGGTAATCTCACTTTCAGGTACATAACTGTCAAGAAAACCCAGGGAGGAAGAGACCACATCTGAGCCATCAGCCTTGCTCCTCTCTCTCTCTACCCCAGCTGGGGTCTCTCCTCTAAATCTCAAGAGTCATTCCTCCCCCTAACTCTAACACCTCCACTTACATTCCCCATAACCAAATTTCTTTCATTTTTGTTTTAAAGAATGCTAGTGTTTTCCAAGACATTTTTCTAAGAAACAAGAGATAACTAAGTAGAAACAGATACACATCAGCCTGGATCTATCAATATCCAGTTTCCTACCTGAGGTATATGCAAAGTAGGGCCCAGTTAGCCTATCTTTAAGGTGTGACAGCCCAGGTTCCTTTCCTCGTCTCAATCTTCTTCAAACCTTGAGTTTCTCTTTCTCCTTTCCCAGCTCTGCCCACCCCTCCGGAAGCAGAGCCTGGTTATGAAGCCCAGTCCTAGGTAGGCAGGTGAGTGGATGAATGCACCATGTTCAGGTAGAGAATGGGTCCTTTGTTAGTGGGGAGAGAGAGTCATGTGAGCTAGGCACAACTTCACGACTAGCATGAGATCTTGGATAAATCTATTTCTATTTCTGAGCCCTTTTAATTCCCACCTTCTCATTGCTCTGGGCTTCATCAAGGTCCTTCATAACTGTGATATTCTCTAGGTAGAATGAGGGGCAACAGACCCACCTTCTCTCCAGTCCCTCCCCAGCAAGTGCAAAGGGTTAATTCTCCAGCCACCAAATAGGAGAACCCAGCCCAAAAAGTTGAGGTTTTGACCCTCATTCCCAATTACCACTCTGTTTTTCAAAATACCCTTAACTAATATGAGCTTGTCCTCAGTCCCTTGGTTGTTTGCCAAATGGCCTCAGAAGAGCAACACATCATGCAAACACTTCTTGTGTTCTTCATGCCCTGGTCTCCCCTCTTCAAAATCACCCAAGGCGAAGAGAGGGTTGTTCCATGCTGTTCAAGTTGAGGCATCGGGGCCTGAGTGGCACTGGAAGGGAGGCAGGCGCATTATCTCTTCCTTCCTGCTTGCACTGGGCAGGGTGAGGTGCAGTTGGAGCCAGGCACAGCCCTAAGCCACACAGTAAAAATGGAAACTAGAGAAGTATGTACTAAATAAGCAGAGTGCTTATATTTGTGTTTATATTTGTTTACAAAGGACAAATGCTCTTGAGATTGTGATTGGCTGGGAGGGTGGGCTGTGTGTGTGTGTGTGTGTGTGTGTATGAATGTGTGCACATGTCTGTGTGTGTATGTGTGTGACTGCCCGAGTAAAATGCCTGGTCTCTAGACAGTGGTCTATAAGTCGAGGTGTAGGAAGAATATACATTTATTGTATAAATAAATGTATATACTTTATTGTAATATACTTTATTGTAATGTCACAATTTACATGTTTGAGTTTTATAATGTACATGTTTAAACAGCTCGATGTATAAGTAAACATAAACATAATGAGGTGAATGCTCAGTAATGCTCTAATATCTGTGGGAAAATACTGTGCAACAACTTCTGACACCAATTACATGGAGTTGGGCCAAATTTCACACAGGTGAAGAGCACAGTCAGACACCAGCTGCAAGCTTGAAGGTCCCCAGATCATGCTCATTGCTGGCAAAGCTAGATACCAATTTAGGGGTTCCGGTGGCACACTGGGTAAGTTCTTGGCTGCTAACTGAAAGGTCAGTGGTTTGAACCCACTAGCTGCTCCACAGGAGAAACTGAGGCAATCTGCTTCCATAAAGACGGCAGCCTTGGAAACCCTATGGTGAGTTCTACCCTGTCCTAGAGCCGTCAACTGTGAGTCAGAATCAACTAGATGTTTTTTTTTGGTTTGTTTTAACTACTCCTCAAGTTTGTTAATTCACTAGAATGACACAAAGAACTCAGGAATGTACCATACTTATGATGACAGTTTATATAGTAAAGGATAAAAATCAGAACCAGTCAGTGGGATATACCAAGTCTGGGATGGTCCTCAAAACGAAACTCCCATTGGCCTCAGGGACACATGCCCTCCTGTCTCATTGATGTGTGATGATATACAGAACACTGAGGGAGCTCACTCAAGCTTTGGCATCCAGAGTTTTTAATCAAGGCATAATTATATGGGCATGAACTAATTCAGCAACCCCTTTTTCTCCCTGAAGATTGTTACCTCTGAGACCATATGGTTAGCCTTTCTGGCATGGCCTACCCTCATCATTAGCATGTTGTTAGGTGCCATCGAGTCGGATCTGATGAAACAGAGGGAAACACTGCTCAGTCCTGCACCTCCTCATAATTGTTGTTATGTTTTGAGCCCATTGTTGCCACCACTGTGTTTGATCCATCACACTGGGGGGTCTTCCTTTTTTGTTTCATAAACTTAGGAAATTCCCAGGGTTTTTGAACCACTAGGTCAGTGTTTCAAACCCACCAGAGTTTGAAGCACTATGAGTCAAAACCAACTCAATGGCACTTAACAACAACATAGACTACCTCCCAGGAACTAGGTACAAAGTCCAGAATAAATTCTTGATTGCACAGTATGTTATCAAACTGTGTAAAGTATGTAATCAAAAATATATGCAAACAACATAAAAGACTATACACATGGACCTCACCAGATGGAATACATAGAAATCAAATTGACAACATCTGTTGAAAGAGACGATGGAAAACTCTGTATCATCAGCCAAAACAAGGCCAGTGGCAGACTGTGGAAGAAACCATCAATTGATCATACCAAGTCCAGGCTGTAGCTGAGGAAATGAAAACAAGTCCATGAGAGCCAAAATATGACCTTGAACATATCCCACCTGAATTTAGAGATCATCTCAAGAACAGTTCTGATGCATTAGACACTAGTGACCAAAGATTAGAAAAGTTGTGGGATGACATCAAGAATATCATATAGGAAGAAAGCAAAAGGTTATTAAGATAAAAAGAAAAAGGTCAAAATGGATGTCAGAATAGACTCTGAAACGTGCTCTCCAGTGCAGAGATGCTACAGGACATGGAAGAAATGAGGAGGATACAGGGCCGGGCAGTTTACTTGTGTTGTACATACAATTGCTGTGTTTTGGAGCTGACTTGAAGGCAGCTTCTAGCCTTAGTCTTTGTAAAATCCCACCAAAGAATGTTTTCCTGATTGTCTTTTATAAAAGAAGGTGGGGGAAGCTGCTGATTAATTATTTGATTCATTTGGAGTGATTTTAACAGGCTTAATTGTGAAAACTTGGAATTCTAATGTAGATATAAAATAGGCCATCACAGAAACAGGAGGAGGAATCAGTCTACCATCAAAGATGGAGAACCAGGAATGGAGTTCGTCCTTTAGACTCTGAGATTCCCTGCCCACTAAGCCTCCTTGCCCCACAACAGCAACAGAGAGCTATGACACCAGAGGTGGGGCAGAGGAGCAGCAGCAGCAGAACCAAGAGCCAGAGCATGAAACAGAGTAGGGTGGTAGGCTCACAGTCCATGGAGTAAGTAGAGTGACTTTGGGCAAGAGGCTTGCTTGCAAAGTGGAGTGCCTTAAGGCACTCAATTGGGGGAACTAGGTTTGCTGACCCAGGAAGCTAGAGATGAGTGCCTTCAAGCAGAGATGATGGTGGATTAGCTTGTCCTGTGGGCATTTTATCAGCAGCCCTAGAAGAGCTTTGTAACATTACCTGGGCAGAGAGAGGCCTGGCTTGTGGGCACGGTAGAGGCGAGGCTGTCCTGACTAGAAGAACTGTGCTCTGATCCTACTTTGTAACCTGTTAACTTCACTAATAAAGCCCAAAACTGTGTCTGGAAAAAAAAAAAAAGTGGAATCCACTATCCTGCAGTTATGCTCTTCGCCTCAGGAGTGTGCCAGGTGGAGAGTTTATACAACTGCTTGGGGGGAGTTGTGGGTAGAGGGGAATTGTAGGAATTGAAAAGGAGCTCTGGTAGCGTAGTGGTTACGAATCAGGCTGCGAACCTTAAGGTCAGCGGTTCGAAACTACCAGCCGCTCCGCGGGAGAAAGATGAGGCTTTCTACTCCCGTAAAGATTTACACCCTCGGAAACCCTGTACAGGGTCGCTATGGGTCGGAACCGACTCGACGGCACTTAACAACAACAACAACAACATTCCACTTAAAGCAACTGCAGTAGGGGATGTCTCTGAGACAGAGAGATAGGTGATCTGAAAAAGCCAGAAATTCTTAGCTAGGGGAGTCCAAGGGAGATATTTGCAATTTCCTGGTCAAAGCAGCCTGAGGCATCTTGAGAGGAGGAAAATTATACCTAATCATCCTCCAAACCCTACACTCAGCACTTTCCAGAACTTCTCCTGTCTTTATCCTGGAAGCCAATAAACTTAATGTAATCTCGCTTTTCATTGATAGGCTAAGAAACCTAATCTTTTCCAGATTTTGTTTGTAGAAAGTGATTCTCCCCAAATTGGAAGAAAGCAACACGGGTGCTCCTTCCGTGATGACTTCACTGCTGTCTTAGTGGGTGGGCAAACTCTTCCCAGTCAAAAGTGGTGATTGCTTGCAGAATGGAAAGCATTCTCCTCCCCCTGGAGACCCAGTCTGGGACCACCACTTAGGAGGTCAGGATTAACGTTGGAAATGGCCTTGATAAAGAATTGTCCTGAAAGACAAGTGTAGAAGAGTAGAAAAAAGACAAACGACAGTACTTGGACTGGTCCATGCACAAACAGAAACAAAAGGCTCTCTGTTGGTGACAAGTCACTGGTTGAGACTAAGAAATCACAAGAAGTGAATGTCATGTTCACCTCCAGTGCTCTTCTGCTAAGATATTGACACTCTCCAGGAGAGCCTTCAGTCAAGCAGTGCATCCCAAATCCCAGCAGGAAAATGGGGGCAAACTCCCCACTTTCTAAGGAGAGTGACTGTTGGCTGAGAAATACCTGGGTGAGCCCACTTATAAAGGCACAGCTGGCTGCGGTGTCACCCTGTGGACTCTCTTCTTCCTGTCAGGGGAGGCTCACTCACTGTCTCTGTTCTCTCTCTTTCCATTCACTCAGAGCTTCCCAAGATCTGGCTCCCTCGGATCCTGAGACAGACCTACATCTGCAAGGTTGGGGCCACAGTGAACCTGCTAATCCCGTTCCAGGTGATCAGTGGGTCCATGGAGTAACCAGATTGGGACTTGTGATTTAGAAACAGATACCAAGAGTCCAGCTAGCTATGGGACAGTTGTCCTGATTTATGACTGAGGCCAAATAACCCCTTATACTCTACACTCCTGAGGGAGGCTAGGGTTAGGTTGGGTTTGCCCCATGTGATGAGGTAGGGGTTCATCCGTGCTCTTCAGCCAGCAGATATCTGGGGACTCTCACTTTGGAGGGCTTTTGGGAATTTGTTCAATTGGTCCCAGTTGCTCGGGGTGTTCTTGACCTAAATTCCCACATGGTATGAACTCAAAGCCATCCCCCTTTCCTGTGACCCTTATGCTATTGCTAAAAGTAGGAAGGTCCCTGGAAGAATCCACCAATCTCTATCCCAAGGAATTTGCAGCTACAAGTCATGTGTCCTTAGAGTAGATTTGACCCCCATTGTAGTAGGGAAGGTCAAGAGGCCTCTTGGGGCTGCTCATGGCCTTATCCCCACTTCACAGGGCAAGCCCAAGCCTCTAGCCATCTGGACACGTGATGGCTATTCCTTGGATGCCCGGCGTGTGAGTGTGCGGAATGGGGAGAAGGACACTGTCCTCTTCATCCGAGAAGCCCAACGTGCCGATTCGGGCCGCTACCAGCTGAGTGTGCAGCTGGGCGGGCTGGAGGATACGGCTACCATTGACATCCTGGTGATCGGTATGGTGGAGAGTGGAGATATGGTGATCCTCAAGGGTTTCTGTTCCAGGCTGGGGAAGCTGGGGTGATCCCCCACCATTGATTCCAGCACACAGTGGTGGGTAGGGGGGCAGGGAGCTACAGAAAACAGACTGACTTGAGCAGAGAAGGTGACCATATGATTCCAATTCATATGGGTTGTCCCATGCTCACTGCCATGGCTTTGCCCTTTCAGAGAGACCAGGCCCTCCTCAGAGTATCCAATTGGTAGATGTTTGGGGCTTCAGTGCTACCCTGGAGTGGACACCTCCCCAAGACACAGGCAACACAACACTCCTGGGATACACGGTGCAGAAGGCGGACAAGAAATCTGGGGTGAGGCCTGCTGGGAAGGAGGGAAGAGTTGGGTATTCTGGAGTGGGGGTCTGGTAACTCCACGAGGTGGGCAGAGGTAGACTGAGTAGACAAACCAATAGGTGTCTCACTCAGTAAGGCATCTTCTTGGGACCCCACAGCTGTGGTTCACAGTGTTGGAGCATTATCACTGTACCAGGTACACTGTCTCCAACCTCATCATTGGCAACTCCTATGCATTTCGTGTCTTCGCTGAAAACCAATGTGGGCTCAGTGAGACAGCCCCCATCACTTCTGACCTTGCCCACATCCAGAAAGCAGGTAAGGCATGGAGATTCAAGCTGGGAAAAGTAAAGGATAAAGAGTGGCAGAGGGACAGGGATCTAAGACACTAGACCATCGTCCATCTTGGTCTCCTCAGAGACTGTTTACAAGATTGAGGGGTTTGCCCAGAGAGATCTCTCCGAAGCCCCAAGGTTTACCCAGCCTCTGGCAGACTGCACGGCAGTGCCTGGCTATGACACCCAGCTCTTCTGCTGTGTCCGTGCCTCTCCCAAGGTGAGTGGGGGGCAGGGGAGGAGGACTGTGCTGCTCTGCTCCCTGCACCTGTCCTAACTACGGTTATGTCATAGAGCACTGTCATCAAAGCATCTGCCTCCATCACCATCATCTGCCTCTTCAACAGCAAGTCAGGGCCCTTGGAGTCCCACAGAGGCTGATGCAGATGTGACTGGCCTTTTTCTTTCCTTAATGTTTTATTCCTCATAGACAAAGAAGTCACTGAATGACCTGCTGACAATTGGACATAAGCTTTGAATTGTCTTTCTGGAAGGGGTGATGGAGTCCCAGTGGTTTTTCCTTTCTTACCTACCTAACCCTCATCTGATTTGGAACAAGTACATGCAAATTGCCTAAAGTGCAGGCTTTGGTTACAAACCTGAGCCAAGGCTCTTTGTTTTTTTTACAGTCCACTAACTGTACTACAAACATGGGATAAGACACTATTAATAACCTTTACCAAGTACCTTTTGTGTTATGAATCCTGGGCCAGACTATGTGGGAATAATATCTCAGAAAGAGAATATTAAAAAGCACTCACTAGAAACGACTCACTAGCCAGAGGGGACAGGAATGGCTCACAAGCCAACTGTGGGCATAGAATAGGAATGACTCACAATTTGTAAAAATGTATATAAAGAAATTCAGACATCTAGTGCTTATTCCTCATACTGGGATCGTTTATGCAGGGTGGGACAGCAGGAGGTACTTGAAGGAGATGAAGTTTCAGGTGTTGGAGTTTCACAGAGGAGCTTGGGGGGCTGATGAAGGGTATTGGAAGGAGAACCCCTTCCAGTAATCTAAGAGATAGGGAGTCTTCTGGAAGGCCAATATTTCCTCTAGATTCCTTTGCCATCTGCTCTTAAAGCATTCTCCTCCTGTTCCCCTTGCTGGGCTGTCTCCAAGTTTTGTAGGCTAAATTCTGGGTACCGACACAGGGAGTGGTGAGTTGTGGTGAGTGCTACACTGCTTCCACTCTTGTCCTAACATTGTTATAGTTTATGACCCCCTGCTGCTCCCTCCTCTGTATCTTCTAGCCCAAGATCATCTGGCTGAAGAACAAAATGGAAATCCAAGGCAACCCCAAGTACAGAGCCCTCATTCACCTGGGAATCTGCTCCCTAGAAATCCGCAAACCTGGTCCCTTTGATGGAGGCATCTACACCTGCAAAGCCATTAATGCCCTGGGGGAGGCATCTGTGGACTGTAGGGTGGATGTGAAAGGTAAAGAATAGAGGAGAACTAGTGCCTTCCAGTGCCAATTATACCTTTTCCACAGGTGGAAAATTCAGGGGCCAGAGACACAAATCCAGATAGAGAATGTCTTGGTTTGTTTCCCCCTCCAGGCTGCTCATCACCATCATCTTCAGAATACATTTAGGAGCTATTTTTATTACCCTCTTTCTTTATTTCTCCTCATCACAATTCTGTAATGTAGGAAGGTGCAAGAATCATTATTTTTATTCTGCAGAGGAAAGACCTCAAACACAAGGGTTTACCCAAGATTTGGTCATTGTGTTTACCCAAGATTTCCAGTGTTGGTTCATCGAAGAGCTGGCACAATGGTAGCTTGGAATCCCAAGACTTGGCACAAATTCCTGCCACTTGCTACCCTTGTGAAGTCCTTGGGTGGTGCAAATGATGAATACTCTCAGCTGTTAACCAGAAGTTAAGAGGTTCAAGTCTACCCAGAGGCCCCTCAGAAGAAAGCACTGGTGATCTATTTCTGAGACATCTGCCACTGAAAGGCTCCATGGTTTTGACACACATGGAGTCACCATGAGATGGAGTTAACTCACAGGACTGGTTCAGCTTGTTGGCTTTCACTACACATGACCTTGAGAGCAAGTCTCTTCAGATCGTTGGTCTGTAACACTTTGTCGAATTGCAATGGAGATTAATTGAAATAATGATTGTATAGGTGCTTTTCAAGCTGTTGAGCACCATCCACATTTTTACTAACATTGTTGCCCCAAATATCCTGATTTCACCCAGATGCCGCTTAACAACAGCAACCCTCCACTAAACTATGAGAACCATGAGGACAGGGACAATGTCTTATTCACTTTTGTTCCCCCAGGGTCTAGCCCAGTTTCTGGCACACAGTGGATACTCTATGAATGTTTGCTGCCTAGTTAAGAATAGATACGCCATTATGTATCCTATTCTTTCCTGTGAGTAGACTCTGTAACGAGCACACGAAACCTGTTGTATTCAAGCAGATTCTGGCTCATGAAAACTCCAATATGTGTCAGAGTAGACCTGTGCTCCAAAGGGTTTTCAATAGCTGATTTTTCAGAAGTAGATCACCAGGCTTTTCTTTCAAGGTGCATTTTATTTTTTTAAAGTTTTTATTGTGAATTGAATGATAGTTTACATGAGAGAGCATCAGTTTACACTCATCCTTTCATATTTTGTTTCATTGCAATGATTATAATCCCCTCAGTAGTGCATCATCATTTCAACAGTAGTTGCTATTCCCTCTCTCTGTATTTTTTTTTTGGAATTACACCAAAACACTCAGGAATATATAATCATTTAAACAACCACAGGACACATTCTGGAAGCCTGCCTCCTGGCCACCAGCACACAGCCTTTCTCTTTCCATGAGTCTAGAGTCCTCAGCTACTCTGTCTTTCGATGTCCTCATCTCTGCCTCCATCTCTGGTGTCACTGCTTCTCTGAATAGGGTCCTGCATTCCATTTGTGCTCCTCTTCCTTGATGGTCCCAGGGTCCTCTGTTCCTGGGATGTAAGATTAACTACTCCCCCCTTTATGTTACAAAACTTCTACCTTTACAGTTGTGACAAATGCAATTCATCATGATAACACTTACTATTGAATCATAAGAATCTTATCCCTATCTCCTTTCACCAGACTTGTCTAGACAAGATGAAAACTATTCAGTGGGGATTCTACCTTCCCCTGCACACTCTGAAACTAAACTCCCTTTTGAAAACTTGTAAGCAGGTCACTTCATGCCTTTATAGTGCCCCCATTTTAGGTAGCCAATGTCTAAGTTGTCCATTCCTGTCAACCCTGTATACAGAGGGGATAAGATTGATCCTTGATGTGAAGACTCCTTCCCTCTCAGTTGGTATTTTGAGCTACTAAATCCATAAGTATAGGTCCAGTTCATCAAATTGTAGCAATTTACACTTGTTACCTTTATCAAATTTTTTTATCTTCCTCTAGTTAACTTCTGATCATCAAGCCATTAAAGCTAGGTTGAGTGGGTACTATCTGCACGTTTGGGCATTCTTTTGTCAAGGTGCATCTTGATGGACTTGAATCTGAAACCTTTTAATTAGCAGCTGAATGTGCTATTTGCACTGCCCAGGGACTTCAACTAACACCACAGTCTCCCCCAAAGACCCTATAGGGAAGATCCCCTCCCAATGCTCTGACAGAAGGTTTCCCAGAAATTTCTGAGATAATAATATGGCGAAATGTCTGAATTCTTGCAGCTCCTCTTTGAGGCTACCTGAGGACATAGTCCACTCTGAAGGAGGTAAGGAAAAATGGGCAGGGTGTCTAAATGGACTCTTTTATGTTTGTGGCTAGTGTTGTTGTGTCTAGGACAAATGTGCACTCCTGAGCCTTCCAGCATGCACTCACTGGTAACTGCATTCAAATGAACACATTTATAAGCGAATACTGCCATTCCTGTGGAGGGAATTTACCATTGATGAAGTGTATTTTTGTCACATCCTCTCTATGTCTGTTCTCCTCAAGTGGTCTTTTGGAGTTCAGTAACAGCATCTCCCTAAGTGTAAGGAGGTCTGTGGAAGGGGGATGGGCAGGTACTACAAGGGAACAATTAGCAGTGGAGGATCCCACAAGAGGCTCCCACATCACATGGTCGTTAATGCTGTTAAGTACCGTCTAGTCCATTCCAATGCAGAGAGCCCCTGTATAAATAGAGTTTCTGAGCTGTAAATCTTTATGGAAGCACAAAGCCTCATCTTTCTCCCACAGAGCAGCTGTGGGTTTGAACTGCCAGCTTTGTGGTTAGCAATCCAGTGCTTAACCTACAAAGCCACATGGTAGCAGGGTCAATACGGAGAGAGGGTGCTGTTCCTGTCAATTAAGTGTTTCTACTTCAGTATCGGAAGCATGGTAAGAAACAGACTTTTTGTTTTTTTTTAATGGATTCCTTCTTGTTTACCGTTGTTGTTGTTGTTGTTAAGTGCCGTCGAGTCGGTTCCGACCCATAGCGACCCTGTACAGGGTTTCCGAGGGTGTAAATCCTTATGGGAGTAGAAAGCCTCATCTTTCTCCCGCGGAGCGGCTGGTAGTTTCGAACCGCTGACCTTAAGGTTCGCAGCCCGATTCGTAACCACTACGCTACCAGAGCTCCTTGTTTACCATTATGTACCAATAATACCTTAACATTTGAGTAAGCAACATTCAGATAATTATTTAGAATCTGATGCCTCCTTCAGATTCTAAATCATTAGCAGCAGAAATGAATAAGGATGAATAAGGTGAAAAGCAGCTCACAAGAGGATTAAAGAGAGCCAGGTGACAGTGGTTAAAGCATGCAGCTGCTACCTGAAAGGTCAGCCATTAGAACCCACCAGCTGCTCCATGGGAGAAAGGCAGCAGCTTCTGTCAAGATAACATTCTTGGAAACACTATGGGGCAGTTCTGTTCTGTCCTGTAATGACAATGGGTTGTTTTTTTTAAAGTCCCCAATGTCTCCTCTGATTTACAGCTTCTGGCTAATAAAAGTTGAGAATAAGTTTGGTCCTGCAAGTCATCTATTAAAAGCCTATCCTTAGGGATGCATTAAAAGAACAGACTTCTCCTCAGGAGAGCTCTCTGCCAATTGGCTTACAAAGACAGCTCTCTCCGTGACCTCTCTGTGTGAGTGTTACTAGATGTTCTCCTTCAGCCAACACCCAGCAAGGAATCAGGAGAAGTAGGGAACTCATAGTATGGGACCCAGGGACTATGATGAGGGATTGCTCAGTGTCCTGAATGTGTCCTAGCTGTTTCCTATTTATGGTTACAAACAAAGATACCCTCTTCTTTCTATTCCTTTAGGAAGCCTGACTGTGACAAGATTGTGTTGTTAAGGAGCTCCAGCACAGTGACTGGTGTGGTAACTAAATAAACGTGTGGATCCTTGATGCATACATGTCCATCTGCGCTTTTCTGTGTAGGAACAACATTTAGAAAGTTGGAATCTTTTCTTTTTTTAAATGTTTTATTGTGAATTATGTGATCGTTTACATGGGAGAACATTAGTTTTACATTCATCTTATCATATTATCATTGCCATGGTTACAATCCCCTCCATGCATCATCAACCAGCCAAAGGGTATACCCTGCAAGCCTGCCCCCCCGGTTGTCAGCACACAGCCCCTCTTCCCTCCTCTCCCTCTCTGGGTTTAAAGTCCCCAGCTGCTCCATCTCTCTATGTTATCATCTCTGCCTCCATCTCAGGCATCACTGCTTCTCTGGGTAGGGTCCCGCTCTCCGCTCTTCTCCCTTGATGGTCCCAGGAACCTCTGCTCCTAGACTGCAAAGTTAACCACTCTCCTGAAAGTTGGAATCCTTTGCCAGGCTGTATGGACTCTCAGGACCCTCAGACTCCTCTTTCCCTTCCCACATCTACATTTCTTTCCTTGCTGTCCTTTTTCCTAGATAATCTATGACAGGACTGAATTAAACTCTACGCAACCAGATGCTGGGAAGAGATGTTTAAGATGATTGCTTTCTCCCAGTATAAGTTGGGATGATAGGATGCACATTTCTTACAAAGACACAGACAGCAGTATACATAAATATGCACGTAGCTGATCCAAGCTGAGGACTGGGATGGTACTGGAGAAATTGGAGCACAGTCACACGAAGCCCTGGGGGGAAGAATAAAAATGAGGTGCTCTTCTTACATTTGTTTTCACTCTTAAAACAACTAAGAGATTAAAGGCATTCTGTGAAGCCACCAAGAAGTCCTCCTCTCATTGGATGGGCATGTGTTCTTCCCTTTAAGAAGTGGGGTCTATTTCCCCTCCAGTAGAATCTGGGCAAACCACATAATTGACTTTGACCAAAAGAATGAAACAGAAGGATGTCTGGCCAATTCTGAGCCTAGGCCTTAAGAGGTCTAGTGTTGTTGTTAAGTGCTGTGGAGTCAGCGGACTCATAACGACCCTGTATAGGGTTTCCAAGGAGGAGCTGGTGGGTTTGAACTCATGACCTTGTGATTCGCTGTCCAGTGCGGATC